AACATTCTTTATATCATTTGAGGCAATTATTTTCAGCCTTCCCAATGTCGCTGCTAATGGAAACCCTGCTTTGTCCAAATTAAACACTCAACTCGAGTTTTCTGGTAATAGGAACTCTGAAGCGTTTATTTGGTGTTCTTCAAATAAATCATTCACCAGGTCAGGAAACCATTGCCTGATTTGAGCACGAGAAACGTTTCGCCACTGGTGGCTCAAATTTTCAGGCATTCTTCTTGCAAGATCTGAATGCCTTTTGAAAAACCTACCAAATATAAAGTAAAAAAAAACAGGTCAAATTAAACACAGATTAAGCAGATTCAAAACAATCATAGGTCAATCAAAATCTAAAATTTTGTGTCATTTCTTTATTATATATTCAAAACACTTAATAGAGAAGCAATTATTTATCTGCAGATCGAAAACTTGCTTGGCAGATTATTCACAAACTTTTTATGAGCTATTATATTGTTGTTTTTTTATCGTTAAGTCGATGCTCTGTTATATGTTGCTTTTCTTTAATGTCAAAAAATATTTTTATTATGCTTGGTACATCATTTTGGCAAATACCATATCCTATTGTTGCTGCTTTAATCAAAAAGTCTTTTATTTTTTCTTCGTCCTCTTTTTCTAAAGCTGACTTGCGATCTTTAAGTAAAAAAAATTTGTTAACTTCTTAAAATATTTTATGCAACTTTATTGCTTATGGAGAACTGCATCTAGCATAGTAAGTAAATAAATATTTTAAACAACACTAATAAAATCTTTTGCATGGCGGAACCGTATCTGCCATTTATTCTATCACTGATAGTCTGAGAAGGTACATTATATTTTAAACTTGGCTTTCTCCATTAAAAATGATTGTCTCGAACATCAGCAACAGCGGCTATAACAGCTTCCTCGTTATATTTTTGGTACTTCTGTCTTTTCTTAGAGTCCATAGTCACGATAACAAACTTGATTAATAAATTGTAAATTGTATATTCTAATATGATGATACTATATTTTTAAAAAGTTGAAATTTGAATTCAAATGTTGCTTTAATTTTTTTGTTTTGTCTTAAAAACGTCATTAGCAACCTTAAAAATCCTTTTAAAGATAGTTAACCATAAAAGCATTCAAAATCATTGTTAGGTAAAAATAAAATAATGCACGAAATTTAATACTGTGTAAATTAAATTTCGGGCATAATGCACGAAATATGATGCTTTCGATAATTCGTGCAGAAATTCTTTACATCAACAAAGTATTTGTTTTTTATTATTATTTTTTTTTTTTTACCTTTCCAAACATTTTCTTTAAACTTGGGTTGAGTGATTAATACTACTTTCAAAGAAATGTCGTACTTCATTTTTGCACAGTTAAGTGTAAAAATTAAGTGTAAAAAGATTTACGTTTTTTCACTTTACATAAAAACCGATGTATCGTAACTTATGCTTTTTTAATATAAATATATGGACTACCGACATAGGGTTGGCAGTAACTTGATGCAGAAAAGTTGTACTAACTGTAACGTGAAACAACACTTTGATTAAATTAGCGTCAGCGTAATTTTTTTGATGCGAAAGGCTGTTTGCACAAAATTCGATGCCGCCCGAAATTCGCCAACTTTCCCTAGCTATCGGCGCAAACAAATTTTGCAATTTGATCAAAAAATAAAATTATTCTTACCTTGATTGCGACAACTAATTTCCTTATAAACTATTAGCTAATGATCAACTTAGCAAATTTTGAATAAATAAAGTTTACTAAGTTAAAACTATATTTTAACAGTAGACACAGTAAACATGATAGTTGGTAGAGCACCTGAGTCAGGGCCGTACCGACGGCGGGGGGGGGGGGGGGGTTGACGCCCTTCCAGATTTGCAAAAATTTTTTGACGGAAAATTCAAAAATTAGTGTTTCTGTCGGTTAAAACTTAAAATTTGGCTTCTAAAAAAAAAAAAAAAAAAAAACCTCTTGTCGGTAAAATTACATTTTTTCATTTTCACCCACCCACGTCTTTGTCGTTCGGTACGGTAATAGTTTTCTATCAAGAACTTTAACTAAAGTTATAAATAAATTGATATTATCTTTTTAACTGAGTAATGTTGTATATATATTTAATATTCTAAAGAATAAAAGGTCACTAATACAATGAAGATAAACCAAAATGTATGTATGTATTTATTTATCATCAAAAGCATAAATTGTTACCGAAAGGAACAAAGTATATATCTTTACAACAAATTTTACTTAAAAAGTAACAGTATATAAATATTTAATGAAGTATATATCTTTTCAATAAAACTTATTAAAAATTATAAATATTAAAAATATTTAATTTACAGATTTAATTTATGTGTTTCATCATGACAGTGCATCAGTTTACTGGCACGAACAACATTCTTCTCTCGACAAAGTCAAGTCACGTTATAGCAAAGTACACCACTTGGCTAGCAAGGTTAACACTCTTGTTGTAAACTAAGCTAAGTCACATTAACTTGAAACCATGCAAACAACATAATAACAACTTACAAACTAAACGCATATATTATAAAACATTACAAACAGAAACAGTTCATATAGAAAAGATATTTATATACTTACAAAATACAAACCCATATAACCTCAACACATAAATAAATAACACACAAATACAAATATATAAATTAAGAAAAGTATATAAATTAGAAACTTAACAAATGCAACCTTATTTTTGTAATATTTGTTTAATGACATACCTTGTAATAAATGATTAACAACTTTAAAAAACAAACGATCAAACGAGCTGGTTTTTTATATTACAAAAGCAAACAGATTTTTTTAAATTTCTTTAAAATAAGGTATTAAACGATCTTGTTCTTTAATATGTAACATAGAGTTGATGGTGTGAGATTTAAGGGTTTTGGAGATAAACACTTACTTTATCAAGAGTTTGAATTCTTGACTTTTGAAAAGAACAACGTTTTCTAGAGCTATCATCGTCTTCAAATTTAAAAATTAAAAGTTACAGGTTATTATACTTTAAATACAATTGACAAAGGACTTGAATCGTGTTATTATTATAATGCATGAATTAAATAAGTTATTTGACTTTAAAAATTACTTCATTAATTTAAAAATAACATAAGGTTCATCCTTTACTACAGAAGTTATCAAATAAAAATTTTCGATCTTTTTACTAATTAAGCTGATGAAGCAAAGTTTTCGATTTTATTACTGATTAAGCAGGTTTTAACAATTTTAGTTAATAATAATTTTATTATTAAGATTTAAGACTCATCGCGTGGTCAAAAGTATAAAGAGAAAGAGAATGCTAAATCCTATTTATACTAAAACTCCGTGTAAACGCGCACAAAAGAGTAACGGCAGCAGCAGTCGAAATTAAGTATTAATTATAAACGATAATTTTGTATTAGTAATATAATAAAATGAGTCATTAAAATATGTAATGTAACTGCTAATAAATAATAAACTTGTATTAAATAATAAACTAATAAAACTATTAATTACAGTGTAATAATATTTAAGTTAAATTGTATAACAATTTTCTTTATTATATATTAATATAATATATATATATATATATATATATATATATATATATATATATATATATATATATATATATATATATATATATATATATATATATATATATATATATATATCTTTTTTCCATTCCAAGATAAATGGCAAAAAGTTTGTGTGGAAATTCGGTTAACCTCTAGGCGTGATGCATGAAATTTTAGATTTGCGTCAAGCTCTTCAAAACTTCCCTTTAACAACGACTTAAACTGTTAAAGATTTTCTAAAAGTCTCTAGAATCTAATTTCTGAAATAAAATACTGAGAATTAATGGAGCGTCACGTCAGTTACAATTTAAGTTTTTTCAATACGAAAATTAAGATTAACACAATGTAAATTATTAAAATTAATATTTTAAAGATAGAAAAAAAAATTTAAAGAAATTTGAAAGTATTACTCTTCACTGACTGATTTTAGGGAGAGAGGCATGTGTCGGTCATTAAAATATTTTGAAAAAAATCACTTAAATTTCAATTACTTACTAGTCTCCCATCTAATAATACACCCCTCTTCTAAACTACTTTCTCTCTTCCCCACTAAAAAATAAAAAAAACAAAACAAATAAGTTTAAAAAAATAAAAACCTTTATCACCTAATCTATTGACCTCACCGCCCCCGTCCCTGTTCCCTTCACCCACAATTAAGTTGACGGTAGTGTATTACTATAAAAAACTCTTCAAATTATTATTTAAATATATTAAATATTAATGTTGTTCATTATTTCAATTTCATTAGAAATAATGCGTGAACTTTTACTTAATTTGAGAGAAACTTAACTGTCAACTTAAGAGCGTTTTTCTAAAAGAAGCGTATTTTCCAAAATAAAGATTTTTCTTCATTTAGATTCTTTATTGAAAAAGGTATAAGTCTAACTATGTTAGTATGAATAAAAAACTTTTCATCATCTATACGATTGCAAAATTATTGAGATTCAAAGAATACTAATCATTAGGTTTTTTTGAATTTTTCTCAAAATATGTAGAATGTAATTAATTTATATTTGCAGTAATCTTTAAAAAATAACTACATTTTTTCAAATTAAGTATTTGGTAACTAAGTAAAAGGTAAAAAATGATAACTGACCACAGCGCCGTCTAGATAAAAATAACATCTGACCCTAACGCCATCTAGAGATAAATAAAAACGTCTAATTTTAAAACAGACATTTGAACCTTTGTAAATTGGTTTTGGTTTTTAAAGATATATTTCAGTTTTAGAGTAACTTTGGTTAAATTCAAAAATTTGATAATTTTTAAATGAGTTTTGAAAAATTGGGACATTATTTTCAATATTAGAAAAAGCTGCACAGTTGGTTACCCTAATTATACTATAAGATAAAATAAGATAAAAACATATTAATTGTTTTTACTTATCTCAATAGCAACTAAAGAGCTTAGTAATCCATAGAACTTTTTTTAAAGCCGATATTGTTAACAAATATATAAAAATTCTTTTTGCATGTGTAATCATCATCTTTAGAATTGGTTCAAGTTTGTTGATTTTATTGTAGAACTAAACATACATAAAAATTTTTTGAACAGTGGACTTTATTACAGAAGAAAAGTTACTAATTAGGTTTTAGTCATTATGAAGCAAAAGTAAGCTAATCAATTATTCTGTGATATATATATATATATATATATATATATATATATATATATATATATATATATATATATATTATATATACATATATATATATATATATATATATATATAAATATATATATATATATATATATATATATATATATATATATATATATATATATATATATATATATATATATATATATATATATATATATATATATATATATATATATATATATATATATATATATATATATATATATATATATATATATATATATATATATATAGACTTTGTTTAATTGCTTTGTTTAATTAAATGTAACTTTGTTAACTTGACATTTAAAATTTGTATGCAAATGTATTTATTTTTTTGTTTAAAAAATATTATGTTTTACATACATTTTTTTTTTTAATAATAACACGTAGTTGCAAGTTGAACTTGAAATAAGAGCAGTTACTCATACAAGCCAGCAAGATGTTTAATTTTTGACTTTAGAATTGTTAAAACCTTTATTCAGATAATAATATGCTATGAAACTACTCCAGATTGAACTTTAAAGTATTAAATTTACTTGTGACAACTTTTATGGCATGGATACCCTTTTATATCAATAGATATCGATGATAAAGTTGTTACATAATATATAGTAAAATATAAAAACGCGTAATAAAATATAAATTAAATTAATTTAATATTTTATGCAAATTTTATGATAACTCTAAAGTTATATTCACAAACTTAAACATAAATATTGAAACTAATTTAATAAATCCAAGTTACTTATACCTTTGTAAGCGTTTAAATATATCTTTCACTGGAAAGACAATTACAAGTGCTGGAAAGACAATCATTGTTAAATAACGTTTTTTTTAAAACACGAGTTCACAAAAAAAAAAAAAAAAAAATTATTTGTAATAAATTGGCAATAAAGGAAAAATTTGAAGTTGTTTTTCAATTTTTGTAACTTTGACATGTGCGTAATGATTTAAAATTCTTCGATTTTTAAATCAATAACATATTTTAATGGTCCGGTAGATAATTTCAAACCTTTTTTAATTTTTATGAGGTTTTGTAATGCTTAAGAAATTTTCATATTATCACAAAATAAAATAAAATAAAAAATTATAAGTTTTTTTAACACTTTGAATAATAATTTCGATAACTCATCAGCTGAGAATTAAATGGCTGTATATTAACATTTTGTGTATTTCCTATTTTATCATTAATAAACATTTTTCAACCAGTAGAGTGCGTGTCACGTCAACTTGGCCTATAAAATAACAATACTTTAAAAAGTATTTAAATAATCAATAGGACATTCTGGTAGAAAATGTTTTCAATCCTAATAACACAATAATGGACATACAGCATCCTGGTTATCGGCTGGCTAATTACCCTAAAGCTCACTTAATTTATATTGCTTTTAAACAGTCTAATAGAAGCAACATAAAGGATTTCTTAAACGTGTATAGTAAGAAAGTTATATAAAAAATGGTAACGGAACCAATCAATGACTGTATCTGTTATTTATCTATTAATGACATAGACACAATTTTATACAGGCTAAAGTATAATGTTTCAAACACAAGCGACATAAAAAGTTCATCATATTTAATTTATTTGTATGCAAGATGTTTTTTTGCGGTGAAATTAATGCCTTTTCTCTCTGACTCAAACACTTATTTGGTGACCATTCACATGAAGAAAATAGAAGAGTTGGATGAGAAACAATTCGAGTAATTGTTGTTTATTTTACATGATAATCACAATAGTGACATAATCTACAACTTGCTTTAGTGATGCAAAGAAAAAAAAATCATATAATAATTAAATTGCATCTACATTATACTAGTAGTCTACCTTTAGAGTTATAAAACATGATTAGTAAAACGAAATATGAGTTTGGAAAAAAGAAATTTAATAGTAAATAAGGAGTTTTTTTTTGTTAAAAAAATTAAAAGCATTGAATGAGTGTATTACAAAGCCAGATGAATAATTAACTTAATTGGTGTTTATCAAAAAGCATTTACCAACTTTTCTTTATCAAAGTGTAAGGGAGAGTAGGGTATTGACGAGCACCTAAGCGGGAATGCGTATTAAAGACACCAACTATACAAAATTGATCTTATTTGTTGCTTATCATTAAATCTAACTATTTAATCACAATCCCAAAAAAAAAGTTTTTATATATCTTATTATAAAAAAAAAGTTTAGGGCAAAAATAAAACCATTGGTGTTCGGAAACACCCTACGTAGTGGGGTAATTATAAACACTCCTTGAGGTAATCACAAACACTATTGTGTAATGACAAATAAAATACTAATTGTAATAACCAAGTACAGAAATCACAGACAAAACCTCAGGATATGCTCACCTTTACCCGGCCTTACAATTGCATCGCATAATCCAGTCTTCCATGGGCATATCATTAAACTTATTCATCGCAATTTAATGCAACAACACTCTTTTAAAATTAATATCTAATTTTTTAATTGTTAAAATTTTAAAACATTACTACAAATAAAAATCACAAACAAAACCCCGGGACGTGGTTCACCAATTGTGCACATATGTGCAACCAGAACGGGCATTTATGACACATGATCCAGTCTTCTCTGGGTGGATTCTTATACTTTTTTTTGCAAATTAAACAAAAACGTTCTGTATTACTTCTGGCTCTCTTTTTTTCTTTACGTAATGGTACGTGATCAGCCTTTAATAGATTAAAGTTCTTCTTTCTTTTTTACTTTTAGCAGTAGTATTTTTTACTTCTTCCTTATTACTTTTCTTTTGCTCTAAAATATTTCTTATTGGCGAACTAGTAATAATAGTGGAATGTTTCTTTCTTAAACAATTTCTGGGTTTCACTCTATTAAATGAAATTACATATCTAACAATTTATCTGTTAAAATTAGATGCGACAAAATTAAAAAACATTAAAGTTCTGGCCGCCTGAGGTTCGTGTGTTATCAATGACACTATAGACATTCGAAATTACCCCACTAAGATTGTTAATTATTTCCCCGTGGACACAAACAAATGAAATGCGATTAATCTATTAAGGTTGTATTGAACTAAATTTGTTACCCAAAATGCAATACGTGTTTAAAACTCCTTGATTATGGTACTACGCAACAACATCGACAAAAGGAGTGGTTTTGTATCTATAATAGCTACAACAGCAATGTTTCTCAAGCAAAGATAAATCAAAAATAAAAATTGTATATAAAGAAAAAGAAATAACAAATAAAAGTAGATCAAAGACTCTATTGTGTTATATTTAATTTTAAAAGAGTTTTTTTATAGGGTAAACTGCCATTTGATTGTTTTTGGTTTTGATTATGCGTATTTAAAGCTGAATGTATTATAATACTATGGTTACAACAACGTAAAAATGCCGAAAATGCACAAAATAATAGAAACATTTATTTTATACCAGTAAGCTGATTTACATGAAAATACTTTACTAATTTATTTCGTCCGTCCCCCCCCCCCCCTTCATCTTTAAATTAGGGGAATGGAAAGTACCTCAAATTTGATCAATCAAGAGCGTTGCTAAGTAAAAATAATAAAAAAGTCTTTAAAAAAATGATAGATAGATGCAACGTTGTTCTTAGCCAAAAAATGTTTTACCATAGAGGTGATGTAGATTCATAGGCGTACAGAAGCCTATGAATCTACATCACCTCTATGGTAAAACATTTTTTGGCTAAGAACAACGTTGCATCTATCTATCATTTTTTTAAAGACTTTTTTATTATTTTGAAAACAGTAATGCTGTGATGTCCGGCCTTTAAACTTGGATAGAAGCACTTTCACGATATGCCTTTTATGTTTGCTATTGTGCTTGTGTTTTGAATATGGTGAATGTCTGTAAACAGTGATGTCCAATTGTTTTTTGCCACAGCTGAAAAAATATATATATAATAACTTGGGGGCGGATCAGACATTTTTTATGTTTAAGATACCTAAATTCCAGACATAGAAAAATTTTGTTTTGCAAAAAATTGTGATTATTGTAGCCAGGAAACAAAAAAGTCTTAAAGTTTTGGCCATAACTGCCCCAAACAAAAGAGCAATAAATTGATAAAATATTTTATTTACTATTTTTAAATAAATTTATATTCATCGATAAATTCTAAATTTTATCTAATTATCTTTTAGCGTTCAAAAATTATGATCTTATAAAATTTGTAACCCCCTGAAATTGAGGAGGGGTTTCAACTTTGTATTGTCATAATTTTTGAACACTAAGAGATAATTAGATGAAATTTAGAATTTATCGATGAATATAAATTTATTTAAAAATAGTACAAAAAATATTATACCAAGTTGTTGCTCTCTTGTTTGTGGCAGTTGTGACCAAAATTTTTGTTCTTTTTGTTCCCAGACTCCAATTATCGCAAATTTTTGCAAATCATCCTATTTTACATAGACATAAAGATATGAATTTTTGGAGTTTGTTACATGTCAGAAAGTTAGCCATCTCAAACATTAAAAAATGCTTGATCCGCGTCTCGTAACAATATAAAATTAAAAAAACAGTAATAGAGTATTATACTTTCAAAAACTTGCATGCATCAATATTCCCATTACTGACGACTGACCTAGAAAAATAGACGTACTTCTATTCTTGATTGAGAAACTTTCTAACTTGACTATACTTTGTAAAAAATAATTGATCTTCCTATTACATCTGTTAATGCTGAGAAAAGTTTCTGTAAACTAATAACTATCAAAAATTATCAGCAATTAACGAAGTGGTTAGCCTAGTGTGAATTTATTTTTAAACTAAACTTGATGGTTTCCATGGCATTTCTAACAGGTTTTTTATAGTTATATCATCAATCGTTGTACCGACAAAGTTTCAAATGTCATTAATAAACCCAGCATTTAAAATCTGACTTAAACATGTTCAGCTAATTTTACTGATTACAGAGTCAGGTTGAGGCTCACTTAAATTCTGTGATGTATGCCATGTGAGATATCATTTCTTTTCTGCCTTTCTCCAATTATTTCTTTGTCTTGTAGTTCGGATTTATGTTAAATAGCAATACTAATACTAATTTCCGGTCGTAGTGTTGATGTTCCGGTCGTGGTTTTGATGTTCCGGTCGTGGTGTTGATGCGGTTTTGAGCTCATTTTTTCTTTTAGTATCATTAATAGTAGCAGTAAAACTAGTTAAAGGTATTTTAACAATATTTTCTTTCTTCACTGCTAAAAAGAATGAATCTAAACTACTCTGCAACCATATAGGATATTACAAAATTAATTAAAACTACTGATTTTGAAAGTATTTTTTTTTTTAATATTCAGTTTAATAATTAAACTCTTCTATTGAATATGGAATATATTTTTCTATTTTTTTCAAATCTGATATCTTTTTTTCATTGATAGGCAATTTTCCAACATATGCAGGAGTACTACTTAATGGTAAGGTTGGCCTTGTACACATCCTTTGTAATAGCTGAAAATCATAACTGACTAAACAATCTATGGATTCACGTGTTGTCCCTAAACCTGGTGTGGTCTTAGAGAATGTGAAATGTGACACTTAAGAAATACCGAAAGTAACTTTTTTGTCCTTGGGTACTCCTTTTCCATAGGAATCCACAGATAGCACAAGTTTCTTATAATGGTTTGGCCACCATTTTTTACATCAATAATATCTTCAGTTTTGGGCCTTCTAATTTCGAATTTTTTGCTTCCTTCAGCTATAAGATTTTCATACTCTGTTGGTGTGTAAATCCGATCATTTTTTCGAATATGTCGCTTTGCTGTTCCAAACATTCTATCTTTAGGCAAGAATGAGTGACCTCTTTTTGGTATGTAATATTGTATCTCATTTATATTGCTATCTAGTTCAGCTACCAGTGATAAAAGTATTCGGACCATGGCATGATTTCTGTTTTGGCCTGCACAACCATCAGAAAATAGGTGCAATTATTTGGCTTCGTTGCCAATATTTTTAAAAATATAATCCAGCACAAAGGTACATACTTCGTTGGAACCTTTGTTAGCAACTCCTTAACAATATGAATAAAATACTGATTTACCAGTTTTAAAATCATATATGCAAAACTCATACAGCCATAGTTGACGTAAATAAAATATTTCCTGGACAGGGATATGTGGAAGTGGCAAATTTTGCATAAAATCAAATGCAATCCCATACACATTTGGATCGTTTTTGCACTTAGTTTCAACTTCCTGTATTTTTTTTGTAAAATTTGTTTGCTTGTCTTTTGTGGATCTCAATATCTGCTTGATAGATTCTTTTTGCATTGTCATTAAGGTGTGGGTTTTTTAGTTTTATTTTTAACTCTTCGCACAGTCCACAGACATCTATTTGCTTTCTACCAAATGATAAACTAAAATTTTCTTGGAAAAATTTAAGGTAGAACTTATATTTAACAGGATGATCTAGATATTTTTGTGCGTATAACGTGTGCATAATTTTCACATTGAGTTTTTCATCCAAATAATAAGATGATGCATCTTTACTATAGTAGTGCACATATTTAACAGGAAATGATTCGATATGCTCACGTACTTTTTTTAATGTATCTCCAGGTATTGCGTTGCATCGTGATCCCTGAGATTTACCTCTGTGATCTATAGGCTGCTCTTTTTTTTTAATAAAATGCATAAACGTCTAACTTGTTTCATAGAAATTCCATGCATACTGCAAAAATCTTTCTTGCATACTTTTTTTATCACACCTTCAACCTTAATGTGATAAATAAAAGAAAATTCTTTTTCCTTAGGTTCTTCAGATCTAAACCGTCTTCTCTTTATTTCCTTCTTTTCAATTAATGACTGCAAGTATGTGTCTTGGGCATTTTTACTATCAAATCTGTTAACAAACTGAATTGTACTTTCTATAACATCTTCAGATACAAGCTCCATACACTTCGAATTACATCTGTAAACAAATAGAATTGTTGAGTTAATATTATAATAATTATATATCAAGATGTTTTATCTCCAAATATTGGTGGTAAAACATGAGTAAATAAGCAAAAATTTGAGAACGAATATAGTCATTCTATATTATAGAACAAAAAACTAACCTGCAAGAAGCACCTGTTTGCCTTGGTGCCACATCATTTCCTTTATGGTTTTTATAAGCTTCTCCGGCAAATTTGGCTTTTTTTATTTTTTCGTGTTTATACTTTCACTGTTTCTTATTCCAAACACTCTTTTTCTAGATTTATATGCATTTTCAGCAAGCTCGCAATTTTCCATATTTGTTACAAATAAAGTGAGATTACGTCACTACAGTTGCGCTTCGTTTCACTTGAAAAAGGCATAAGTCCGGGACTTATGCCATTTTCAAACAGACTTTAATTTTCATTTGCATTTTAAGTTGACTTGTGGCATATGAAAATGTTTCTCCTTCAAAGGGAATATGTAAAACACTTGAATAAATAAAATTGAATTAAAAAGTGAAATTCGAAAAAAGTGTGACTTGAACCCTTTTCGAAATGACTGGTTTAATTGTCGTTTGAGTAAATAACATTGGATCAAAAACTTTACTTAATCATTCAAAATAATTACTCAAATTAATTGCTGTTACCTGCTGTATAAAAAGTTTCTATAAAAATAACTATTATATTAATTTAACCGGTTTGTATTTGGTAAATTTTTTAATTATTTGTTAAATAATTCTTTTAAAATTTTAAAAAACAATAAGACTGAGATTATTGTAGAGAAATTGTTTAAAAGAATTTTAGAGAATTTTAGAAATTGTTTAAAAGAATTTTAGAGAACTAGACAGAAAAAACCTGAAAAACATTAAGAAAAAGTCTGTTGCGAAACCGGAAACCTTAATGAATGTTTCTACCCCTAACGTTCAGTTTATTACGTCACTTTGAATATATTTGAAGCAAGCATTTCTAATCTCAAATAAATAATAAAAAATTAAACTGCGCCATTAATAAAAAACTAAGTGAAAAGTGAAATAATAAAAAGAAAATGCGTTGTAATGTTCATCGAAACCATCATCGAATGTAAAAAGTCTTTGTCTTAAGTAGTTTAGAGTAGTTTGTTTAGAATTAAAGATTAAAATTAAAAATCAAATAGTAATATATATATATATATACAGACCGGCGCGAGTAGGTGTCAACGGAGGAGGAGGGGGTTGGGGTTGGGGGTTTTGGTGCCATTTTAACTTTTGCTGACTAAAAAAATAGAAAGGTCCTTGTTTTTAAAAATTTGCCGACTGACTCTCTAAATTTACCGACTAACTTGTCGAAAGGGTCAAATTTGTCGACTAAATGAACGAAAAAATCATTGATGGGGGGGGGGGGGGTAAACTATACATATATAGGGTAAGGTGGGGTAAGAAGCCCACCATAAGCAATTTCGTCTTTTTTTTACTGATCCAATAAACGTATCTAGAAATTTATGTTACCATTATTTCAGATACATAATAAACTTAAGTACCTAAAGTTATTTTCTTAATGGCTACTCAAGTTTTAATGGAAGTATGCTTTTTATAAACTGCTATAGAGTGGGCCTTTTGCCCCATTGCTGGGGCAAAACGCCCCTACCCTGGGCCTTTTACCCCAAACGTTAATAGCTTGAAATACTCCTTTTTTACAATAAAAATTTATTGCAACAGTACACTTTTTACTAGTCACAATATATTTGTGTGTAAAAATGTCCAACAAAAGTTTTAGTAGAACACTTAGCACCATAATATTAGCAAGTAGCACCATATATGCTATCATATGACAATGGCAAACAGCACCGTAAAATTAATAGAGCTAAAAAGAGCTAAAAATTTATAGACTAAAAAGATAGCTATAAAAACTAATTTATAGAGCTGAAAAACACAGCTAAAAGCTAATTCATAGAGCTTAAAAGTTGCTAAAAAAAACTAATTCATAGAGCTAAAAAGACATCTAAAAAAATAATTCATAACCCAAAAAGACAGCTAAAAAACTAATTCATACAGCTAAAAAGACAGCTAAAAAATTACAGTAAGACTAGTTGAATTGATTATGCCTATTGGCAGTGAAAGCAGACAGCAGTGTCATCAGGACCACAGCCGTCGTGGTACCAGTTGAGACATTCTGGGCATTGCTGCCAGTCATCAATGGGTGGTTCGTTAAATCTTTTACCACACATGCAACATGGCGTATCATCACTGTTAGTAACAGAACCTACACATCTTCGTTCTTTTGACCCTTTTCTTATCACGTTAGCATTCGATGCGTTACTTTTGATTGTCCTTTTTGATTTTGTTCTCGCATATTGCCTCCTTTTCCCGGTTTCTTTGTCATCTCCACTTTTCGTTCTTTTGGATTTGTCTGCGATTACATCGATTTCGTCTTCATCATTTTCCTCATTATTATTTTCAATTACTACTTGCTTGTTCTGTTTTGTCTTCTTTGCATTTGCTTCAATTAACATTGCTTTATAAGGACTAGAAGTTATTACAGTTGCTGCTTCGGTTTTTCGTTTGCGACTGCGTACATTCTTTATCCTTGGAATAGGGCTTAGTTCTGATATAATCTGCAATGCTTCGGATAAACCAGGATGATTAGCTGTTTTATCTAGTTGATTTTCATCGGACTCATTGCTATCTCCTGTTGCAATCCTATCAGTCTCCATCACATTAACCGATGCTTCATCATCCACCGCATTGCCGGCTTCTTCATTTGTATTCATAGGTTCACTTGTTTCGTTTCTAGCACTGTCGTCCAGTACTGCAAGTGTGATCACGGGTTCTGGCTCATCAGTTAATTGTGCAGCTATAAAATCCTCATCTGTAAAGATGGCTTTGTTGAATGGGAAAATGCCAGGCACTTCAAATCCTTTCACAGCTTTATCCACCGCAGCAACTGTTGCATAGGCTGTTGCAAAAATTTCTGCCATGTCATACAGAGTTATTTGCTTGCCTGGATGAGTGCGCATCCAGCTATCTGCTGCGGAGTTGTAGCTACATTTTAATGGCTTAAAGAAAGTTCGATCCAGTGGTTGCATTTTATGTGTGCAGTGTGGTGGTAACGTTATCATTGCAATCCCATGATCACGACAAAAATCAATTGCTTCAAGAGTCTTATGGCTGTGATGCCCGTCTACAATTAGAAGTTTGGGATTTGAAATACTTGCTGATGTATGAAGAGCAAAGTGATCCAGCCATTTAAGAAATAAAGTCAAATCTTTCCAACCAGATGCACTTGCTCCACCAATGCTGCCAGGAGGAGCACCTTTCATTAATTGATCTATGAGTCTTTTTCGAGGAAAAATTAGCATCGGAGGAATGTACGATTCACTCGCATTCATTGCACATATAACTGTAACAGTTGTGTCTCTTTCCGCACTAGTTATTTTACCGACTTGTCTAACACCTTTTGTGGCAAGCACTTTTCCTGGCTTTTGGACATTTGTGATGCCAGTTTCATCCATATTCCATATTTACTGAGGTCCGTACGCATTATTTGTAAGTATATCTTCGTAAACGGTAAAGAACTGGTCTACTTTTGGTCGATTAAATCCAACTGCTCGATTGATACTAGTTGCCTCTGGAACTCTAATTGTTAATTCTGGATGACGTTTCAAAAAACCACTAAGCCAGTCCTTGCCAGCTTGCCTGGAGGAAGTATTAAATGAATGCTTCAAGTGAAGTCGCTCGGCCATATCAAACGCTAGCCGCCGGATATCCGTCGTAGTTAATCCAAATAATGCTCTTTCCATCATTTGGATGTGTTTAACAAGATCTTGTTCAATTTCAATAGAAAAAGTATTCACATGATTTCCTAATTTATTGCTCCCAACTTGTCTTACTTTGCCCTGCAAATGCCTTCTAAATGTCTTCCTTGAAACTCCAAAACTGTTTTCAGCTTTACGCAAAGACATACCATTTTTTACTGAATCTAAAGCCCGTTGTAAACCTTCTGCTCCATAACTTCCTCTTTTTGTAAAATAAAGTTAAAATAAATAGAACAAAGTTAAAATTTGAACATTCTACTTAAATAATGCAAGGGGTAAAAAGCTTAGGATGGGCCTTTTGCCCCATTAACAAACTGGGCTTTTTGCCCCAAAATGGTCGGTGCAAAAATTGCCAAAAACATATTATTCTATGGTACAATGAACGTTATATAAATAATCAATACATAATTTGTACGCTTACAAATACATAAACTCATTTAAATAATCAACTAAGTTTAACAATAATCTACAAAAAAATTTTAAAATTACGCAAAAAATCAAAATGTTCTATTCTTATTACCTGTCAAGTCTTCAATATTCTGTTAAAAATTATATTTCTACTAAAAATTCACCAAAATTCGCTCGCAACACTGTTACACATTTATCATTCATACTACGAAACAATAATTATAATATTTTACCTAGGTTATTTATAACTGCAGGATGGGCCTTTTACCCCACCTGGGGCTCTTGCCCCACCCTACCCTATATATATATATATATATATATATATATATATATATATATATATATATATATATATATATATATATATATATATATATATATATATATATATATATATATACATATATATATATTATAAGGGTATGACAAACAAAGTGTAATATTCAAACAAAAATTATATAAAAAAGAGGGGGTCTGCAAATGGCGTATATGAGATGGAAGAACAGTGAGTCAATTATAAAAGAAAGGAGACACTAAATTAAAAGAAATATCGTGAAATGTTAGATAAATAGTTTGAAAGCATAGCTACTTTTAGAGACTCAAAAAAGCGTTTTGGACAAAATGCGGGATGGGGAGGGGGGAAAGCGGGGGAGGGGACGAAAAAAAGCGTACGTACTTTAAGGACGCCTCCTATGTTTAGTGTGGTCATCATCTAGCGTTTAATCCACTACGTTTTTAGTAGTCTAATAATCATGTTTTAAAGTCCCAAACATTACTAAAAGTTGTTATTGTTCTGTTGAAGATGAAAAGTTGTTATTGTTCTGTTGTACATTTTATACTTTATCTTATTTACAATTTGTTCAAAAAAAAAAAACTTTCTTGGATCGAAAAAAAATCCGCTTGAGCATCATAAATTTTGCTCTCGAGATACCAACAGTTAATGAAAGTACTGATCCAAGGGCCAAAACCTCCAATTTAATCTTTTTATGGATAAAGAGTTTACTTCTACCCATTTTTAAGGATTTTATGAATAAAGATTTGTTAAATAAATGTTTACATGAAAAAACCCAAAACGCAAATGAGGCACTAGAAGGACTCATGCCATGATTCCATTTAGGGACCATTTAGGATCATTTAGAGTCTATTTAGGACCATGAGTCATAGTCATATAAATGAGCATAGAAATGAGTGTAAGTTCAGCTATTATTCACTTTTAAAATGTATGCAATGAAATATTTAAGGTTTAAAAACTCTTTGCCAAAGAGTTCTAAAACCTTCAATATTTTGATTTTTAAAATTTTCCCTTTAAACCAAAGTCTTTGGTTTAAAAGGGAAAATTTCAAAAGCTGTGGCAACAAATTTATATAATTCACGCATTGAGCGAAATGAAAAGAAGTTTGCAGATGAAGAGAAAAAGCGCAGAGAAGGATTTTGAGCCAGAAAAAAAGGGTTTTGTGATAAAAGGAGTGAAAAAGAATTACTAGATTCATATCAAACTGTTGCTTTATGAGTAGATCATATCTATCTATCTTTATTATTATCTATTTTATCTTATTTTTTATCCATTTTATCTTATCTTGTTATCTTATTTTTTATCCATTTTATTTTTGTTTTGCATTTTTCTCTGTTTTCAATTTTTTGCTTACTTGCCGTAATTCAAAACATGATAACTCAAGATAGGATTAGGCATATGAATTGAAATTATAAAGTTGTGTTTGTATTGATTTTTTACTCTGAGCGACCCTTAGATTTTACATAAAACACTGAGTATTTTTAGAAAATTCAGTGTAGGTGACATCACATACATAGCTTTGAGCGCTACAAGTTTTATTATTCAAGAATAATGTAAAATTGTTGCTAACAGTTTGAAAATTATAATGCATAACATAACTTGCATAATACACAATCTAATCTAGACCTTTGTGCATAATTTCATCTAGATATTTTAAACACCTTATTTAAAATGGTCTAGAAGTTTAATTTTTTGCCCTCTTATACATTTTTTTTTTAAAAATAACTGTTTCACCAAAATTTAATATTTTCTTACATTACGGCATAAGCTACATTTTAAATCTTTCTATCGCTATAATGAACTCATTAGACCTAAAAAAGAGTATTTAAAATATATGGGGTAAATGGAAATGGGGTAAAGTTAAAAATAGGCTATGAACTATGATACATGTGCAACTTCTCCCCATGCTGTTTTTACATATTACTCTATTACTATTTATAAGAATAGTATTTTAGAATATTTTTAAATAGTAAAAATAAGCGTTTATTTTAAGATCTTATTATACCTTGTAAAAATAGTAATAATAGAAAGTACAATTAAATATATATATTTTTTCTTAGAATCACTTGTTGGATTCTTGTGTCATTGTTTTTGATTTTTACGCAAGTTATAATTACTTGCTTAGCTGGTAAGAGTATTTCTTTATTGATAAACTAAATTTTTATCCTTATAAATTTCAAGTTATTTTTTATTCATTGTAGTTAGAAATTATGAATGTCAACAATAATATTTTTTGGCTATTTTGAAACTTTTTCTTTGCTATTTAATTAAACTGATTTTGAATTGAGGAAAAAAACAATTAAACAATAAAAAATAAAAATTAAATATTTTTATAAAAATAAAGATATTTATATAAAAAAATTTATAGATAATTTTAACTTTTTTTTTTCAATTTTAAAGTTTACTTCAACCCTTTCATTTTTTCTTATAAAGTATTTGTTTTCAGGAGTGTCTGAAGGTTCTTAACTTTTCTTGCCTTTATAATTTTCTTTATTAGTTAATGTAATTGCATTCTGTAAACAGTTACGCATTTGGTATTTTTAAAATTATCATAAATATTTTAATTTATATTTATAATCAAAAATTTTAATTTATAGTTTGAATAAGTAATTATTTTTGTCTGTAAATATTTTTTTATTCCTATTCATAGTGAGTAATAAATTCAATAAAGAATTGAATAACAATTTTGTTTTATGTAAACACATGGTGCCTATAAATATAGACAATATGATTTTTAAACATGAACAATATGATAATCATAAATATGAACAATGTGATTTTTATAGTGTCCTGGATTGACTTGGATAGTTTGAATTTTTTACAAAAATGTCCTTTTTTTTTCTGAATAAGTTTAATTATTTTTTGAACACTCAGAGATTATTGTGTGAAATATAAAATTTATTGGTACATAAAAATATAGTTAATAATGTTCAAAAAAAATTTACTAACATGATTGCTCTAATGTTTGGAACAGGAGGGACTCAAATTTTCAAGGCTTTTTGTTCCTAGGCCCTAATCATTAAAATTTGTTACAAACTTTCTCTATTTGACATAAGTATCAACATTCGGTGTTTGCCCCATGTTTAAAAATTAGTTATCTCAAACACCAAAAAAAAAACTGTGGAGCCACTGTTACTTTTTTTGAGCTGAGCCACCTGCTTTAAGATAATCTTTGCAACCTAGAATTATTTATTTGTTTTATTTATGTTTTGAGTTATTTTTTTTGAAAAAATAAAATATATTGTCTGTGTTTGTTACTTTGGACCAGGAAGGCAAATGGTTTTTTCACTCAAGATAAATGGTTTTTAGTTATTTTTTTTTTTTGTTAAAAAAAACTATTACTAAACTCAAACTTTTTGCAAAATTTTTTGTTTTTTACCTGTTTGAAAAAAAGCGTAATGGTATCACTAGATAATGTTAATAATTAGTGTATTTTTTTACATTTTTTTTTTTTTAATGTTATTCACCTCCTCAAGGCCGAGAAGGCTACTACAGAAGATGAGGCTACTTAATAGTGGTTATAACCCTCTCTCAACTCTATAACTCCAAAACACGAACCTTGATGAACAAGGCCGCTGCGCGGAGGAACAAGTTGAGCGCGGTACTACCAGGGACATGGTGGGGATCGAACTCGGAACCTCTCGCTTATGAAGCGAGTGTTTTACCACTACCGCATAATATATCAAGTTATATCATATTGTTAATTGTAATAATAATTACATAAATAATATATCAATTTATATCATACATAATATATCAAGTTATATCATATTGTTAATTGTAATGATAATTATTTTATCTAATCAAGAAGTATCGATTGGAGTTGTTAATGTTGAGTGTTTATTAAGTTTACTTATTTGTTTTATTTTATTTGTAATTAACTTTGAGCATTTTTCAGAAATATATTTTAAATTGTCAATTAAAATAAAAAACTTAAGGTTTTTAAACTTATTTAAATTAAAGGTGCTGTATTTGGAAGAAAATGTTATTTCGATTTTACAAATAAAATCAAAAAACATTCAAAACAAAAAACAAAAAAAATAAGTTTTGTCAAGCTAAAGAAAAAAAGTTTTATAAGCTAATTATTTACAAGCTAATACTGATTTTTCTGAACCATGATTGATTTTTACTGAACCATAAATTTTTTATTAGTAATAAATTTTTGTTTCCAGTAACTTCTTCTTCTTTAATAACCACAAAGTTTTATCTTTGGTATTGTTTTGTTTCTTATTTACTTTCATGATCTTTCTGACAATCTTACATCTCTATGGCTCTATTTTCTGAACTCAACTTTATACTCTTGACTAAAATTCTTTTCCTTTCAATAACTTAGAACTAGTTAGTGACCGGGGTTGAAATTTGACTGGGGCTAGGAATGGGGCCGGGTTTGATAAAATATAGCCGAGGCCACGTTTCTTACCGGGGCTGCGTAAACATTTATATATCCTAAAGTTTTGTTTTTTTATTCAAAATTTATGTTATATTTTGTATATATATGCATGTATAAACATCATTATGGTCAATATGATCATCATAATCGTCATTACCACCATCATCATCATCATCATCATCATCATCATCATCATCATCATCATCATCATCATCATCATTAGGCTTTAGCCTTCCACTTTTATGCTGTTTCTCTAATATAAACAATCTAAAGCATTTTCTTTTCTTAACTAAAGCTCACTCATACAATATGTAAGGTACTCTGTTTAAGTTTTTTTACTTTTACCACTACCATTTTTTCCTGAAGCTGCTATCTTTCTGATGATAACTAAATCAATTACCTAAATCAAATTTAATCTTTTCTAACAAACGTTGTTGGATACAATGTTTTTTTAAATCTGTCTAAGATTATGCTTCCTTTTCTTGCTAGAGTCATAACACACATGCATCTGAACATCTTCTATTTTGGAAAATACTACATTGTATAAATACTAAAGTTTTTATAAATATAAATCGATTATGTATGCCAGCATCTAAATAAATAGCAAACATATGTTTATATCCATATTATGTATGCATAAATGCGCATCTTGGAAGCTTTTATTCTGTCTCTTTATTTTTAAGTCAACCCACATTCTACTCTACATATTTCACCATCTTGAGCAGTTGCTTATTAAACCTTAATCAGTTTTTTCTTCATTTTTACAAGAACATCTCTTATAAGAACAAATTATTGCAAGAAGCCAATGCAAAAAGGTCCTGTCCAATGTTAAGCTCTGTTCTTTTCAGTTTACTAAATCATGTATCTTATTTCAGATGTTAGGTTTTAGAAACTTGGAAAATACAGTGTCATTAACTAAAGTAAGTCTAAAATTTAGTCTCTTATTCATGGGTCTAAACATTTTAAATTTCAAAACTTCATAGTCTTAAAAAAGCGTTCTCTAGAACTCTCTTCAATTTTTGCTAAATTATTAAATTGTGCTAAGTAAGTGGTTCCAATTTTTAAAAAATCTAGAAAACAATTTGACCTTTCCAACTATCCTACAATTAGTCTTCACTCTGTAATTAATTTCTTTATATAAATTTTTTTGAGATTATTAAGTCATTTCTTCATAATAATAATACTTTTAATACTCAGTATTAAATTTTTCAAGGCTTACACTCTTCTTTATTTTGAGTAAATTTATGGTGCCACAAGGTTCTATCTTTGCTTCTGTATTGTTTCTTATTTAAAATAATGATCTATATAAAAGTTTCACATCTAAAGTAGCTCTATTTGCTGACAACTCAACCTTATACCTTAGACTCTTATTGTCTTGAGGAAAAAGTCTTCACTTTGTTTAGAACAAGCAGACAAAGTCTACATTGTAAATGTAATTAGAAAAAAAAGTACATTGTAAATGTAATTAGACCAGCTTTATTTGCCAAGCTTGAGCCACTTTCCCATTGTTGCAAGGTTGAATTTCTTTCTTTTTCTACAAATATTCTTATGTTCAATTCTCAAACAAACTATATTACGATATTCTCAAGTATTTCTCAAAGTATTTCTCAATTCTTAAACATCTCTATTACGATAAACCAAAACTCATACTTGCTCAGTTTCTTGAGAAGAAACTGAGCTAGTATGAGTTTTGGTTTATCGTAAAAAGAAAAAAAGAAACTGACAATTATGAATTCAGAAAATTGAAACAAAGTGTTATAGGTAATATTTTCACATTTTTTTGAAATTCAGTAATCTAATCAGTAATCATCAGAGTTGTACAGTCGCCCAGACTCTGTCATCTACTCTCTCTGCTACATGCAGACTTTCCATTTGGTAATGGAGTTGCAAAAGCACTTTCATCAACAAAATTTGGTAGTGGACTTAGGTTGCTACTAAAAATAAATCTAAAGTGCTATTTTGCAACCATTTAAATTTAGAAATACTATTTAAAGTTTTTAAGTTTTAGACTTTTTCATTTACCAAAAATGAAGTGAAAGAAAAATAAATCTTTCAAAATATTGAAATTCTCCTGTGTTATCAAAATAATCTCAGGTGTGTGTAATTTGATTTTAAAACTTTGAAGAAGCGGCATTAGTGCTTTAAATAAAATGTCTGGAACTAACTCGATGTATTATTTATATTATGCATGTATACACGTTAATCTAGACATCTCATTGAAGTAATCTTTATCTAAAGTTGAACAGTAACTTTTAAAAATACAGTTAGAAAATTACAATTGCATAACAACTGCTATTTTCTTATAGTGACAAGTCATGTATATATATATATATATATATATATATATATATATATATATATATATATATATATATATATATATTTACATATGTATATATAAATTAATTATATGTAATTTTAGTTAATTTTTGTTATTTTATCTAATTGAGTATATAAAAAGAGTATTACAAAAACAATCATATATATAGCATCAACATCAAACAGTTTGGTTTAGTCGAGTAGACAAATAGAAAGAGATTCTGAGCTGGTCAACTTGGTGCAATTTTTTTAGCAGGAAATTTAAAAAAAGTAGAATGATGATACCATTCTACTAAAGCACTGTTGTGCCGCTAGGAAAACAAAGCTTGCTGGCTTTAATAAGAATACCTAGATATTGCCAATTTTAAACTTGAATTCCAGACGATATTTTCAAAGCCAGCTGCAGAGGCTTGTAAGATATGGTATATTTAAAATAGAAGGACTGTGATGGCAATTGACTTCAAGGTAGCCTTTGGGTTGGCGACACTAGCAACATATATTTAATAAAATAAGAATCAATCTGTTTTGTTGTGTATGAACATAGCAATCTAAATTTTCTATAAAGTTTACATTTTAATTGTTTCTATTTATTTGTGCTTTCCTACTACAAGGTGCCAGTTATAAGCTATAATTGTCATGAATATAACACAGTGGGCGATACAACAGTTGGAGTAAAAAGATGCATGATTAGGGACTTTTTGCGCTTAACACCAAAAAATTAGATTTTGCCTAAGAGTTCAGCAGGTAAATGTTGGCGACATCAATGTAAGTTACAATTTACTCATAAATAATTAGCAATACTAAATAAATTTAAATTAAGGGTAAAACAATTAAAAAAAAAAGTGTAAAAAAATATATAAAAAAGTGTCACTTAATATCATCTCATTTGGATATCAGAAACTCAATGCAGGAGAAGAGGACAGTATGTTTTTTCTTTTGTTTTTTTTAAATATTTTTTTTTTAATTGATAATTATAATGTTTGATAAATTAGCAAAAGAACGGTTGTGGTTTCTGATTACCAAAAAAAGGTTATCACTAGAATAAATAATAACTATCAACTAGTTTGAAGAATGGTCTAGGAAGAAGGAGGGGGGGGGGGAGGAGACGTAAGTGGTTTTGTAACAACTCATACTATTCAGACTTGTTACTAAAAAGTGGTAATGTCGTGACAAGAAAGAATGGTGTCAAAAACAGTCAAAAATTGCATAACACAATCTGTGGATGATCCCTTAGTCAATTTGTTAAAACAAAATATTTTATGCATGAGCAGACAAGGTGTGTGAGTGCATTGGCTTTCTGGAAAGACTTGAATTACTATTAAATCACTAATTTAACCGAATTGAGTCAAAAGTTCTTTAAATGTTTTGTTTCTAAATCAAGAGTTAAAATTGAAAAAAATAAAATAAAAAATTATCTTTTCAAAAGTAAATTTTATAGACAAAAAATCATTTTTTTTCTCCCGACAATTATTTCTAATACGTAAGCCTATGACTTAGCTACATCAGCTTTATTGCGTTGGCATAAATATGAGAGAAAATCACAAGCATCCAATATGTCTAATTTGGGTCCAGGCCCTGAATGGCTGTAATAACAAGAAAACAAGTAAAACTAGATATTATATGATACAAAATATTGTACGATATGTAATCTACATTAACAATGTTTGTTTGAAATATTTTAATTTGTTGTTAATAATTTATACTAATCTGATAAAATATATTACTATAATATAAGACATAACATAATTTAATATATAACATAAATTATTAGCAGCAATAAATTAAAGTAATTCAGACAAGTATCTTTAAAAGAGGGATGTACCAGGTTTCAGGCAGGATTTTGTGACTTTTAGGTCATTCTGGTTCTGCCCAGAATTACAATATTTTAGGTTTCAATGCCAGAATTTATTTTTTACATTTTTTTAAAGACATATCACACAGGTTGTGTAAATTAAATCAAAAAATCATTATCCTACAGGGCAGAACTATAGGTAAACCTAGGTAAAAAATACAATTTTCTTAATAAAAACAATATAGTTTTATTTGCAGTAATCAATTATGTAAGGATTTCTAAAAGTTTATAAATATGTGGTGCAAAAAGAGTTGCTATCCATTTTTTGGCAACAAACTAGCTCTTTTTACAAAAATGTTACCTGACTCTGAAAATAGTCTCAATTTAAATGTTACATAAATTTTAAATGGTAAAAAATATATAGGATGCTGTAAATATTTCAATTTTAACCTAGATGGAAAAATAAAAAACAAAGAAATAATTTTAAGTATAAATATTATGCAGATTAAAACTTCCAATAAATACAAAAATAAAACAAATAAAAACAACATATTAGATTTAAATGAAATAAGAATCAAATTAATGAGTTATATATATACATATATATATATATATATATATATATATATATATATATATATATATATATATATATATATATATATATATATATATATATATATAACTCTCGGAATAAGGATTGGCATTCGGCAATGCCGACCTAACTGCCAACCATAAAATGTTCAAGGTTGGCAAAAATTTGCCATTCTTGTTTCTATGTTTTATAGTAAGACCTTTTATATAAATATATATATATATATATATATATATATATATATATATATATATATATATATATATATATATTTTTTATTTTTTATTTTTTTCTCTCAAAAGTATAATTATCATTGTATCTAAAATAAAAAACCCAGTCATTTTAATAATTATTTTTTAATAATTTCAAAAATGCCTCCATTCTATTACAATAAGAAAATATAAAACTTTTTTTATAAGCAGTAAAAACTACTCTCATCTAAAGGATTTTTTCATGCAAACATTATAGTTAAAATAAGACAGAAAAATGAACGTAAATGACACTTTTTATGTATATATATTCGATAATGCAAACATTAGTTAAAATAAGACAGAAAAATGAACGTCATGTTTCTCTATTTTTGCATATGTAAATGTTGGGGCTTGCTTAAATTTTTATAAACACACATTACTACAGCAATTTTTTTTCCAAATAATTATGCGATTGATAGTTTTTTATTTATTATAAAAACACATATTTATAATAAAAAATAATTAGTTACAAAATTTTTTAACTCATTTTAAAGGCTTTAAAAGAAACCATGCTAAAACATGATTATTTCTTTCAATAGCATTTCTATAAAGTAAAATAACTACATATGCTATCAAAGATAACAATTATGTTTTAGCATTATTTTTGCACGTGTTAACAAAAGCATTATAAATTTTACTTAAATTTAATGCATTTGCAATTACTTTAATAGAAACCATGCTTAAACATTTTGATTGCTTTTTTCTATTTTTTTTTTTTCTATTTTTTTCTTAAAGTGAAGTAATGTTTATTTGCATATAAAAAATACTTTTAAAATGTATGAAAAGAATATTTAAGTTTTAAAAATATATATTAATAAGTAAAACTAGAATAAGCATATTAATTCTGATATGCTTATTCTAGTTTTTATTTTTTATTGTGCGTTAATAGTTTTCATTTTGTTTATTTTACATTTTATTTTATTAATATTTACTTTTATTTTATTAATATTAATTTTATTTTATTAATATTTTATTAATATTTATTAATATTAACTTATTATTAAATACTTAATATGGTATTATTTCTATAAGTTTTAAAAAAGAAATGTCAAAACAACTTTTATTTTATTTTTAGCTCCATTTATTTTAATTTCTTCAAGTTAGTACGCTTTTTTTATTTGTAAATAAATTTAGCTAACTAAATTGAAAAAAATTCATTATTTAGTATCAATGAATAACTATTTACAATTATTAGGTCTTTGCAAATGCATAAAAAATTGTTTTGAAAAAATAAAAATTAATTCAATTCAACAGGCATAATTGATGTAACTAATAATATATTATCTAGAATAAAAACTTCCTTGAATAAAACAACTTCCTTGTATGACATATCTATTAAATTATAACATATTTAATAAATTATAACATATTTATTAAATTATAAATATAATATCTATTAAATTATGTGGTTATAACCACAATTAAGTAGCCTCCTTGTCTGTAGTGAATTGAGGAGGTGAATTAACAAAAAAAAAAAAATCAATTTTTTGTTGTTATATTTAATCTTTTTTTTTACAAAAATGTTTATTTATTTGATTCATTATTATTTACCAGATACAGATTGCCAAGGTTATTCTGGATGTGGCAAATATGCAAGTTGTAGTAACAGTTCATCTGGTTACATTACATGTACATGTCCATCTGGTAACTTTAACAAAGACAGTAATTCATCTGTGTGTGATGGTGAGTTTATAAATTTTTTATAAGCTAATGTTATTATTTTAGACATTTTACATATCTTTTGGACTGTTTCAAAAGCTCATAAAATTATCTCAAGAATATTTACAGTCACAATGTAACACACACAACGCTATTTTTATGTGACATAGGTGCCAAATAACTACTTGAAAAGCAATAGTTTTATATTTAATAGTAACTTTATTATTAAAAAACACTGCAGAGTAAAATTTAAGAGCCCACTTTCTTGCAAACTATATGCTTTTTTGATTAAATCCTGTTTAATTAAATCCTGTCCATTTAAATGCAATATTGAATAGTAAACATATTTTACAAGAAAATTGTTGACAATACTCTATATATTTTAACTATTTTTAATTTTTACTTTTCTTAATGGAAAAAACAACAAATGTTTTTGTGTATGAAATGTGTTAAAAGTGACTGGAAAGCTGTTTAGGGCAATATTGCTTGGAAACTCTATTTTAAATTATAAAAAAGGTGTGAACATTTTTGGTTTTAAAAGAGATAATCAGTGCGTTCTTATCCTAATTTTGAAAAAAATAAAAAATTAAGCTTTTTGGATAACTGTACATTGTTTTTCTGGTGGTATTAAAATAATATCTAAAATAAAGTGGAATTGAAGAAAAAAAACTTTCAAAAATATGAACTTTATTCAAACTTGTAAAATGTTTTCATTCGAAGGTATAACACTTTAAAGAATATATAAAACACACACTCAGAATTTACAGACCGGCTCAAAAAAACTTAAGAAAAATGGTTCTTTTATTACAAGTTTGTTATATACTAGGTATAATATATATATATATATATATATATATATATATATATATATATATATATATATATATATATATATATATATATATATATATATATATATATATATATATATCATATTAAATTTAATTTTTACTACCAAATAATTACAAAACAGTTTATTGCATAAAAATAATAAGTAAATAAAACAAACTAGATTCACAAATTTATATTAAAATGAATAAACAAATTATATATATAAAAAATCCACTTCCTAAGCTGCTCAAATCTAATGTTGTTTACAAATTTTCTTGTGCAGGATGTAATGCCAGTTATATTGGAGAAACCTCCAGACATTTAACAAAAAGGATACATGAGCACCAATCTGTTAATTGTAAAATTTAAATAACTATAATTGCTTTCAAATTTTAGATACTGCTCCTAGATAAATACAATATAAAAATTAAAGAAGCATTCCATATTATAATATAAATTTGTTGATCTAGTTGTTTTATTTACTTATTTTTTTATGCTATTTACCACACCTTCCCACAACAGTGTTTATGTTTGAAAAAAGTGTACACACCCACATTAAATTTTTCTAGCAAGGTATGATTAAAGTGTACTCTAAAAAGGTATTTCACAAAATTCAAAAAGCATGTCCTCAAAAAAAAAGGTGGTTATTGTGAGAGGAAAATTTGTGTATTTTTCTCTTGTAAGATATATAGAAAAACAAACGGTTTAGAATAAACTTGGTAGAAATGCTTATTTAAGGCATAGACAAGTAGCTAATAAACTAACTCTTTAATAAATACCATTATTTAAAATAACTATTCATTTCATACCAATAAATCAATGAATCCTGTCAAAATCAATAAAGATAAATATTTTAGTTTAAACAGTTTGTTAGCCAATGTAGACTGAGCATAATAAAGCCTGTAGTTTGCTATGTGTTGTATGAAAGAACAACACATAATAGATCCTTCTTTTATATTTCTTTGTGGAACTCACTGAATCTTAAGTAAATAGTTTCTCCTGTCTCTTTGCTGTAAATTCTCAGTGCATATCCATTCTTTCTACAAAACGCCTTTACATGGCAAAATAATATATGGAGTTTTGTACTCTTTGTTTTGATCTCTAAAGTAATAAAAATATCAAGAAAATTATTTATTGCTTTTTCAAAATCCATACTGAGTATTTTACTAAAACATGAGTAAGCCATAGTATCAAATGCATCAAAGGCATCACAAATTCCCCTTAGATCTTCAGAAAGAGTATCTCTAAGTTTATTTGTTAATCTTATCAATTTGTTTCACTTGTTTTCTTCAAACTCTCCACCATAAAGTTTTTGTCTGACAAGGGAATTGTTTTTTAGGAAGATTTCTCACAATAGATTAATTGTTCCTGTATAGAGATAAAGTTCGGATATATTGCATACTTCCATAACTTCAGTTTCATTATCTTTTTATAACTCTTGCATGTTTTTGTACTACAATCACCACCACACCCAAATACACCCACATACAAATCAACAATTCAAACCCAATAGTGGAGTTCACACTTAGTGGAGTTCAGAGTTCACACTTGCATATAATTGTAAGTGATTACTTGACATGGGTGACAGTCAGTCCACATTTTACCATATTTCATACTCTCAGGAAATCCTTTGCAATTTTCTGTTACTGTACCTCGAGATAAAGTGTTTTCTTTTTATAAAACTATTTCTAAAAACTGTGAACTGATGTATAAAAATTGTCAAAATGTGCATGATATCCTTGGTTGAGCAATGGTTTGGTTAACTCCATAACTCCATAACAAAAATATCCTATAAAATTTAAACCCACCATAACCCTAAATGCATCCAGCTTAACATTCATTTTTTTGTGCAGTGGTCTTGTTTTTCAAGGTTTTTGAGCTCAAGGGTTTAGAGAAAGATATAGTAACAATTGAGACAAAAAATTAGTAGCCTCATTGGGTTTTGTTCCCTCTTCCTTTAGACCTTGGGAAGGTGAGTATATAAAAAATAAAAACACTGTCAGATAGATATTTAATAGCAAGTTAAAAGTATATTACTCAACATACCTTTTTTTTTTTTTTATATAGTCATCTAGCATCTAAAAAGTCTATTATTTTTAATAGTTATAATTATGGTCATAATAACCATGATGACAATAATAATAATGATGATGATTATTATTATATTGATGATTTATTTTTAGATATCAATGAATGCTTTGTGTATACTGCAGGCACTCTATGCCCTCCAAGAACTCAATGTTTAAATACAATTGGGAGTTATTTGTGTGGATGTCTTCCTGGTTATAGTATGGTTGGTAATCTAACAAATGCAACTACTTGTATTGGTAGGTAATTTTTTTTGTTTATAACAAGAATAATAAAAAGTTATACAATAATAACAATAATTTGTTATTATTTTAACTATTTAGTATTCTTACATAATATTTTATACATATTTAAATTAATATTTTATGTTATTTATGTTCTCACTATATTTTTACACATTGTTTTAAATATTATTATTTTAACTATTTAAATATTAAAGTATTTCATATTTTTCATTTTATATATTTGTTATTTTTATTTTTTATTTATTATATTTATTTGTTGTTAAACTCATGCAATTTAATTTGAGAAAGTATTTCATACAATTTATATGCTCATATTTGTTATAAGTACTTCATACTTATAATTATAATTTGATATAAAATTATGGTAGTTAAATAAAAATAAATATAATAAATTTAAAAACAGCTGATTACATAAATCAAGGTAAACGATAAAGTTTTAAAGCATTTTGAAGTTTATGAAAATATTAATTTTTTTTTTAATTTATTTAAGAAAAAATTATTTTCAATATCCGAATGATGTTTTGCATAAATATGTTGATCTAGAAAAACTTTTGTTGTTCATCACTAAACAAAACTCGATTTTAAAAAAACAATGCATGGTTTTAGTATGACTTGGGTCATGTCTTCACAGTTTTTCCATACTATAGAAAAAAATACTTTATGTTTATTGAAACATAAAGCAATCGTTTTTAATCTGTTAATTAATTCATTAATTAAAAGGAATATGTTATTGATTAATTATGCTTTTATAAATACAGTTGTTAAAAAAGCATTCCAATTTTTAAAAAAGAAATATTTTTAAAAATAAAAAACCATAATCCAAAAAATTTCACTATTTTCAAATATTAGTAAAAAAAAACACTTTTAAAAAAATTTCTATCAAAACTGTATATACACGTACTTTACCAAGGAAATCTAATTTAGACATGTACATTTTTTTTAACCTAACTACTGTTGTGGGGATATGGGGTACTGTTGTGGGGTATATGTACATAAATATACAGTCATAGCAAAAAAATACAGTAATAAATAATAGATAATTTAGTAAGATTATAAAAACAAACATTTAATGAGTGTTATATTTAAAGTATCAATATATAAAAATCATTCTTATACACAACTCTTAATTAAAAAATATAACATGACATGCATATTTTGAACATATTTTTATTTCAGATGCGTACTAAAAAATCAAATTTCAATGGTGAAATTTAAAAATTTTAGATAATTTTTTTTTCTTTAATATTAGGGAAACAATAGTCTTACATAACCTAAAAAAATATATATGATCTATTATCATTTTTGAAATAATATCCATTCAAAGTATAATTGTAATAAAACTTTTAAATCTTGCAAACAAAAAATAAGCGACCATGAGTGCCTACAGTAAATTTTTTTTTTCTCATATTTTCTTATTGTTCATTTAAACCAAAACTTCAATTTTTCTTTTTTAAATCCTAACCGTTAAGTAAAAACATTGAATTTGCAAAACTTTGGTAAATTTGGATTTTCTTTATATTAAGTATCTAAAATTTTCAAATTAAAAATATGACTAAAGAATAAAAAATGGAGGCGGCTTTAGCAGAATTGGCAAAAAGAACATTAAACCAAAAACAAGCAGCTCAAAAATATGGCATACCAAAATCCACTCTTAATAATCATGTAAATAGAAAGCATACTGTAAGGTTGGTAAAGAAACTGTTTTAACTCTGGCTGAAGAACTTATGCTAGTTGAATATTTTGCTCATCCCATCAAATATTGGTTTTGGTGCTTCTTAATTTGAAGTTAAACAATTTGTTAATAATTATCTTATTGAATTGGATCAATCGCATCTGTTCAAAAAAGGTGAAGTGATTGACAATTGGTATTATGCCTTTATGAATAGACGAAAAAATAAGCTTGCATTTAGAATGCCTAACAATACAGAATCTAAACTTGTTGGAGCATCTAATAAACTAATTTTTGATGCTTGGTATAAAGAATTGAATGAAATTTTTGACAAATATGGTTTTCATACAAAGCCTATGCATATATTCAATTGTGATGAGTCAGGTATGCAGTGTTTAAGTGGTAAAGTTATGTGGTAAAAGCAACAACCATTCATAGAAGAATATCAGCTAAAATGAAAATGAAAAAACTTATACTATTTTAGCTTTAGCCTTTGGAAACTTTTTGCCAGTTCATATACTTCATAAAGGTGTAAAGATTATGTCTACATGGTTTAATAATGCAACTGGTACTACTTTTGATGCTAATGAATCAGGATGGATGGAAAGTGAACAGTTTTATCACTGGTTTTACAAAGTGTTTGTACCCCATGTTAATAGAATGGATGATGAGTATAAAGCTTTTTCTTGATGGTCACGCATCTCACTTATGAATGAAATTAGTTAAGTGTGCTAAAGAAAATAATATTATTTAGACTACCAGCTCATACAACTCATTTAACACAGCCACCTGATGTTGGGGGTATTTAGAACAGTGAAATCTAAATGGTGAGAGATTCCTAATTCTTACTTAAGGATCAGTACCGATATTAATAAAGTTTTCTCATCTTATGAAATATGTAATTTATTTTTATTAATGAGGTATAATTTCAATTTGAATTTATATGTTTTTGAATGCAAATGTAAGCAATTATTTGTTGAATAAAAATCCGAAATTAAATGAATGGTTTTGTATTAAAAAAAAAAGCGTATGCGCCTGTATGTAATTATTTTTTTTTACTAAAAAAAAAAAAATGCTTTATTTTTACAACTTTGATTTTTATACGTTTTTAATGGAATCCGAATTAACATGTACTGCATGATATTTCGAATTTTTTAGTAATGTTTTTATAATTAAATTCTTAAATAAAATATAGCACTTATTTTTTTTAAATGGTAAGTTTTTATGCAGCTTGTTGAGATCTACAAGATTATGTAAAAATATTTTTAAATTTCTAAAGTTTAAACGTCTTAGTTAAAAATGTCTGAAATATGCATAACTCAAAATATATATTTAAATATAAAATAAAAAAATCCTTTAAGTTATTTTTTGAAGAAAGTCAATGTCAAACTAAAAAAAAAAACTTTATAACTCAAAATGTTTGTTTTGTTTACTACATCTGCCAATACAAAATCATTGTATTTGCAGATGTAGTAATCAATTCAGTTTTTTCAAGCAAAAAATTTTTCATTTAAAATTATCTTTTTTTTTTTTTTTCACAATTGTAGCGAAAAGGATAGTTAAATATTGTCTATATAATAATTAATTATGTTTCTTATCAAACGCTGCTTAAACTATATTAAATATATTTGGTGCCCGCATCTAACACCCTATACTATATTGAATACTTTCTTTAAAAAAGTAATATTTACCAATTTTATCAATGTTGTTGAAAAATAAAATGTAACTGGATTAAAATAGCATATATTTTTAAACAACTATGACTCTGTCATAGTTGTTTAAAAATATGCTACTTTAGACTCTATAAGAGTGTTATGTCAGTAACATAACATCAGTAAGCAATGAACTTCAAAATAAAATTTTCTGCAAAGGAAACTAATGCATCTATATAACTTATATGTACAACAATCATCTACATATATGAGCATTTAGTTTCAAGTTATTTTTAAATTATCAAATTTTCAAGTTATTTTAATTTTTTTTTCTACAAAATAGCAAATATTTTAAATAAAAATATTTTTCTACTTAAAAGTAAATAAAAATCATCTAAAAATTTTAAATATACACCAATATTGCTCATGAACACATTTTAGTTTTTATCAGGGATTATCTTTTTCCAGATATTTCCGGAATTCAGGATATTTTTCTCAACTTTTAGTTTTTCCGGATATCAAAAATGTTTGCTGTACATACAAGTTAAGGAATTTAGCTATACATACAAGTTTAGGAAAAGAAGTCATACAAAAATTAAGAAAAGTTAAAAAAATAAATAATTATAGCTCAGCTAAAATCAAAATTAAGAGGAATATTAGGGAAAATATATTCCGGATATTTTACCCTACTGATTTTCCAGATTTTTAAAATATGACCTGGATAATCTATGGTTTATTACAAGGATCTAATATAAATGAAAAGCATTTAAATTCAAGCATGAAATTTGCAAACGTTTCATCAGTAACCATGAAATTTTTTTTTTTTTTTTTTTTTTTTTTAACATCTTCACTTCCAACAAGGCTGCAAGCAACCACTATAAGAGTTGGAAGTTACTGGAAGAGAAAAGACTAAATCTGTAGAGCAAGATAACGATTGACTGATGACTTAAAAGATTGCAAATTATATGAATCAGGAAAGCAAGATGAAGGAAGCGAATTCCAAAGAACTGATGTTCGAGGAAAAAAACTAGAAGAATAAGAGTTTTTGAAGCACTTAGGAACAGTCACAGAAAAAGGATGAGACTTAATTGAATGGCGAGTAACACGAGAATGAATTTTAGTAGATGGCACAAGGGACGCTAGCTCTTTAGAGCAGTGCCCATTATAGTATTTGTAGAAAAGAGAAAGAGAAGCAACATTACGACGATGTGACAAAGGTTGGAGATTGGCTGCCAGAGCAGGTCCAACTATGTTTACAATTCGTTTTTGCACCTTGTCTAAAAGAGAAAGAGCATCACTAGAAGATCCGCCCCAGATGTGGCAACAGTATTCCATACAGGGACGGATTTGAGATTTATAGAGATAGAGAATAGAATCTGGAGTAAGAAAGTGTCGAGCTCGATAAAGAGATGCAACCTTAGCAGATGCTAATTTTGCAATGGATTTGATATACGGTTTAAAAGAAAGATCAGAAGTAAGAGTTAATCCTAGAAGATGAATGGTAGATGACTCATCTAGTACATTACCATTCATAAATATAGGAAGATCTAAATTATTACGATAACGATTGGCCGAATAAAATTGAGTTTTATCTGAATTAAAGTTCACCAGCCACTGTGAGCCCCATGCTGTAGCAGAAGTGAGATCCTTTTCAAGCTCAGATACCCCCTCCAAGCAATCAGAGAGTGTAGGTTTCTTATCACGACAAGAGTAAATGGTAGTGTCGTCAGCGAATAATGCCACCTTAGATGTGAGAATATCTGGAAGATCGTTAATGTAAATTAAAAAGAGTATAGGGCCAAGGATTGAACCTTGAGGAACCCCTGAAGTTACAGGATGTGAAGAAGAGTGTTGTCCATCGAGGACAACTTTTATACTACGATTGGAAAGAAAGGACTCAATAATCTTAAAGACATTACCAGCTACACCATAAGAAGAAAGCTTATGGAGAAGACCAGCATGCCAAACTTTATCAAAAGCTTTAGAAATGTCAAGTGCGATAGCCTTAACCTCTCCACCTCTATCTAATGCACGGTAAAACCTATCGGTTATTACTGTTAGCACATCAGCTGTAGAACGAGAAGACCGAAATCCATATTGATGATCAGAAAGTAAGTTATTTGATTCAAGATGAGAGATTAAGTGTTTGTTGATTAAAGATTCAAAAACCTTGCTTATGACAGGAAGAAGACTAATGGGACGGTAGTTAGATGAATCAGATCGCTCTCCGGAATTTTTGAAAATAGGGATAACAGATGCTGCTTTCCAGCATGATGGAAAACAAGACTCTGATAAGCACTTGTTAAATAGTTTAGAAAGTATGGATGAAAGCTCCGGAGAACACCTCTGCAAAACTACAACAGGAATGTTGTCAGGACCACAAGCTGTTGAAGAGTCTAAGCAGGAAATTACTTTAGATACAGAAGCTGAAGTGATGCGAATGTCAAGCAAGGGATCAACCTGTTTGACGGCTATGTCAGGTAAAACGCAACTAGTGGAATCAAGAGATGATATTGATGAAAAGTTCTTAGCAAACAATTCAGCTTTGTCTTTAGGTGAGGTGACAAAGTCTGAACCATACAAGAGAGAAGGAATAACAGATTTGCCCTTATTATTGATACTGTTAAAGATTCTCCAGAAGTCTCGAGAGCCTAATTTTTGTGATGAGATACGAGATTTAATGACCTGGGAATACCGAGCTTTGGCGTCAGACAAAACCTTTTTACAATGGTTTCTGGCGATAGTGAAAAGATGTCTGTTTTCTGGAGAATTGTTTTGCTGATAGATATGGAAGTAACGGTTTCGATTAGAAATTGCTGCAGCGCAATGTGAGGAAAACCAAGGAGAAGAGTGAGGCTTGACCTGGAATCGTCGAGAGGGAATAAAAGATTCCATGCCAGCCTGAATCCACGAAGTTATGTAAGAAGCACATTTGTCAGCAGGAAGACGAAAGATTTCTACCCAAGGGCCATCACGAAGAAAATCACGGAAAGAGTCCCAGTCAGCTTTAAGGTAGTTGTATGTGGTACAATGATAGGGGGATTCTGATGAAGTAGAAGAATTTGATAATAGTTTTAGAGAGATCAAACCGTGATCAGAAGTACCTAAAGGTGAATGTGGAGAAATTGAGCACTGACTAGGATCCAAAACAAGACATAAGTCGAGTAGAGAAGGTAAATGATTAGGGTTGTCTGGAAAACGAGTTGGAAAGTTGACTATTTGAGTTAGAGATTGAGAAAGGCAAAAGTTGAGGGCCTTAACGCCAGCAGAGTCACTGACACTAGAGCCAAGCCAATCAGTGTGATGGGCATTAAAGTCACCAACAACGACGATATTGGCCGATGGATAAAGAGAAAGGGCTTGGTCAATTTGATCAGAAATAACATCAAGAATAGTGCAATCTAGGGATGAAGGAGAGCGATATAGAACAAAGAGAAAGGCGATAGAGTGAAGTTGTGCTAAACGAAAGCACATAAATGAATAGTCTGTAGATTCAAACCTAGTTTCACGGCAAATGGGTGAGTTCTTACGAATGTAAATGCCCAGGCCAAGCATGTGATTATTGGAGTCTTTACGAATTAAAGGAAGATAACCATCAACACTAAGATGATCCATAAATCCAAAATGATCCATAAAAAAATTAATAAATTATTGAATTAATTTTCATCTAATAAATTTAAAATGAAAATGTGTATTAGTTAAAATAGAATTAAAAATTGTTAAATAAAAAATCTATCAAATCCATGAAATCAAAGAAGGCTGCAGAGTTTTTTGCAAAAAAACAATATAGCGATTTTTTCTTGAAATTTACTAAAAAACAGTTTATTAAAATCATCAAAAGAATAAATTCTTTGAAGCTATTTTATATTATTTTACATTTATATTATAACATTTTATGTTTTATATTAAAACATAAAAATAAATAATTATTTTTAGATATTGATGAATGCAGTAACACTAATATATGCCCTACTAACTCTTCATGTAGAAATACAATTGGCTCATATGTATGCACTTGCAATTCAGGCTTTTATAATATTGGAATTTATGGCAACACAGTTTGTGAAGGTATATATTTTGAAGTGTCTTGCATATTTGCTTGTATCTTTTCAAATAAACAAGAAAATAAAATAAATATTTTCAAATTTTATTTTCTCTATTATAAAATAAAATATTTTTTAAAAATTTTGTAAGTAGTGCTAACCATATAACCACAGATAAATATATTTATTATTATATATTTGTTTATATATATATATATATATATATATATATATATATATATATATATATATATATATATATATATATATATATATATATATATATATATATATATATATATTAGGGCCCTGCGTATTGGCATATTTACTTTCAAATCCAAGCAGGTCTTGATTTGAAGTTATATGAAGAAATTCAAGTTTAAGCAATTTTTTTTAAAAATAAAAAAAAAAATTATTTCGAAGGATTAATTTTTCAGCGGTTGTTTGGAAGCAGTATTACAAATAATTTCGATTACAATTACTTTACTATGACTGAGATAAATAAAAACATTTTATTAGCATCTTAGCGTTGGATATCTAAAAAAACAACAACACTCACAAAATAATAAATGATTTGAAAAACTTGAATCAATTTTTCGAATCAAAGCAACACTTGATTCGGAAATCAAATCAATTTTCAGGGCCCATATATATATATATATATACAAATAGTATTGCGTACTTTGGTAAGCAATCTGACGTCATACTGAAATAGCCGGCTGCTGGGGGCTTCAGTACATACAATGACTGACAAATAGCCTGACTCGCAGTGAAGTGCTGCTACATCGACTGAGGGTTTGGGATGGGGAAGCAATCGTTTTATTTATCATTCTTCATTTTTTATTTCTTCTTTTTCGAAAAAAACGGTTTACCTTGAAGTAAGCACAAAAAGTGAGCAAATGCTTATCAAAACACGCTTTAGTAAGTGTATATATATATATGTATATATATATATATATATATATATATATATATATATATATATATATATATATATATATATATATATATATATATATATATATATATATATATATATATATATATATATACTAGGTTGGTTGAAAAGTTCGCGGAGCGGCACCTATGTTGCAGTAGTAGAAACAAATTTATAACTGTATTAAACGTATTCATTCTTCGTATGAACGCATAAAAAATTTCAAGTCGATATGTCATTTCAGTCTTTGTTTACAAGCTATTGAAATTAGACGTGTCATAGTATTTTTTAAAATGGAAAATATTGAACATCGTGCTGTAATAAAATTCTTTGTGAAAAAAGGTTTAAAGCCCATGGAAATTCATAATGAAATGGTAAATGTGTTGGGTGATGATGCTCCTTCAAAAACAACAGTATGCAAATGGGCTGCGGAGTTTCAACGTGGGCGTTCAAGCCTTGAAGATGACCCTCGCTCTGGACGTCCAAAAAGTGCTACTACTGAAGAAACGATTAATGCTGTGCATGACATGGTTATGGATGATAGACGATTGACCAAACGTGAAATTGCTGAGGCTGTGGGCATCTCAGATGAACGGGTATTACACATCTTGCACGATGAATTACGTCTGAGAAAGCTGTTGGCAAGATGGGTGCCGCATTCGCTAACTCTGGATCAGAAACGCACTCGAGTAAAACTTTCTCAAGAACATTTGGCCCGTTTTCAAAAGAATAAAACAGATTTTGTGCGTCGATTCGTAACCATGGATGAGACTTGGGTTTACCACTATGATCCGAAGCTGCGACAACAAACTGCAGAGTGGACAGAACCCGGTTGTTCAGCTCCGAAGCAAGTGAAGGCGTCAAAATCGTCAAAGAAAGTTATGGCATCAGTTTTTTGGGATGCGAAAGGAATTTTATTAATAGATTACCTTCAAACCGGTAAAACGATAACAGGTGAATATTATAAAAATCTTTTGGACCAGTTGGATAAAAAAATTCATGAGAAAAGACCTGGTTTGCTGCATAAAAAAATCATTTATCACCAGGACAACGCACCTGCTCATATCAGCGATGTTGCAAAGGCGAAATTGGTCGAATTAAAGTACGAACGCTTGGAACATCCACCCTATTCACCAGATCTGGCTCCGTCCGACTTCCACCTCTTTCCACATCTCAAAAAATTTCTACGTGGAAAGCGTTTCTCATCACATGAAGAAGTCATTGCAGCCGTAAATGGGTATTTTGAAGGCCTTCCGGAATCGCACTTCAGAGATGGGATACATGAATTGGAGAATCGTTGGAAAAAGTGTATTGCTCTTAAGGGAGAATATACTGAAGAATAAAGTCATTTTTTGAATCATAAAATTGTTTTTTCATTTCCGCTCCGCGAACTTTTCAACCAACCTAGTATATATATATATATATATATCCAAAAAAAATTTTAAGCACAAAAAATGTAAATATCTTAATAAACAAGACAAACTTTTTAATTAATAAAACTATTTTGTTAATTCTAAACAATACATGTTTTGACTATCACTAGTCATCTTCAGTTGAAGTTAAATACAAAATGTAATTATCTGTGTACAAACTATTAATTTAATTACAAAAATACAACAAAATCTATTATTAGAATAACAAGTCATACTAAAAAACGAATAGGAAGTGACGAAAGAATAGGTAAATAAAAAATTACATAGAAAGTAATAACTAAACACAAAGTGTCATATGGACATGGTTGACCTGTTTGTTCATACTAGGTTTTAACCATTCTATGAACATGCTTTCTTTAAGTTTTAAGTTAAATTTATTAGATTCTGAATCTAAAACAGAAAAACACTTTTCATTTATTTGAATAAAACAATTTTCATTACCATGGAGACGTTTATAGATATGTGTTTTTTTCTCTCTTGTTATGTTCATTTATCTGTGTTTTGAGATAGCAAGTAATTTTGCCTATATAACAGGAGTTACATCCTGCACATACAAGTTTGTAGACCACAAATGATTTGAACTCTAGAGGAATAGGACCTTTAGAGGAGAAACATTTTGAAACTTTTAGTGAGACAAAAACTAGTTTAAAATTTACAGAACAGCAGTATCTTTTAACAATTGAGTTCAATCTTTTTTTAGTTAAATCTGATATTTTTCCTAAAAACGGTAGTTTAAAGTAAGACAAAGGTTCTTTGATTTTTGGTTGTGATGGATTGTTTGTGTTAATTTTGTTTAAAAAAGATTTATATATTTTCGATATTAGCTAAGATGGATACATGTTTCTTTGAAATACTTTGAAAAGGTTGTGCATGTCCGAGTTAAACCCTAGATTAGTACTATTGATTTTAAATGTTCTATCAATTAAGCATTGATAAGACTAACTCTGTACGAAAGCAGAGTGAAACTATAAAAATTAGTGTGTAGACCAGAGTAGGTATTTTATGAAAAACTGTAGTAGTTACTGTAGAATTTATTTTGTGTAAACTTATGTCCAAGAAGGAAATTTTCAAATTCACTTCTTGTTCCATGGTGAAAGAAATAAAATTGTATCTACTATTTATATAATTAAGGAAAATACGTGCTTCATTTTCTGACTGAAAAGCAGCAAAAATATCATTAATATATTGTTTATAGAAAACTGGCTTAACACCATTGCAATTTTAAATCCAGCCAATTTTTAATCCATATATATTTATATATATACATTTATATATACATATATATATATATATATATATATATATATATATATATATATATATATATATATATATATATATATATATATATATATATATATATATATATATATATATAAACTGCTACACATAATAATAAAAAACCATTTACAAGACATTTTGCAATGATAATGATAACTCTCTAGGACATCATGTTTTTCACGCATAACCATATGTGTGACAACGTATTTAAATTTTACAAATACACTTTGCAATTTTCTTTATTCTTCATGCAATGCTATGTATAAAAATTAGGCAAAAGCTCATTTTTAAACGTAGCATTGTTTGAATAGCAAAAATGCTATGTTTGAAAAACCAAGTAACTAAAAAGTTGTGAGAATTTTTATAGGAGAAAATGTGAGTACACTTAATTAATAGATTGTTTACCCTATTAATTTTACCATTTTATACATGCAATATATTCATATATACTACATGTGTTTATACATGAAATGATAGGAGTATATTGCAATAATATATTTTATTTGATTTTTTTTTTTTTTTTTTTTGAAATAATATTTTAAATACATGCTTAATCAAGTTTAAGCATTAAACAAATCTTTGTAAAATTTTAGGCTTTTATTTTTTTGGTCTTTTTAAGTATTTTTAGTGCTCTGACCTTTGGGTTGTGAGTTAAAACTCTCATCTTTTATTTTTGTAAATTAACAATTTTTGTGAATTAAATATGTTACACAATTTTATTATTTAGTATCCATGGTAATTTATGTTTTTGTTTTTTTTTTTAAAGTTCTAGATCCTTGCTCAAAAGCTACCCTAAATAATTGCAACAAAGATACACAAGATTGCATTTCAAATGGTCAGAACTTTACATGTACCTGTAAAAAGGGTTACCAAGCAATTAGTGGTGGACTGTGTTCAGGTTATACTCATATTTTTATAGTTTACTTTTATTTGTTGTTTTTTTTTTTTTCATTTAAGTTTATATTTTTGTTAAAAATTTTATTATTTATATATATAATTACATAAAAGTTATATGTCAATGCTTATAAATGCTATTATTTTTTTATAGATATAAATGAGTGTACTGTTTATCCACCAACGCATATTAATTACCCATGTGACCGTAATCCTGCTATACAATATTACTTTTATGGTGGTCATACATGTATTAATAGTCCTGGATCTTACTATTGCATTTGTCCGCCTGGCTATCGATTGGATGTACCAACAAAAACTTGTAAAGGTAGTTTTAATTATTGTTTTTAAAAAGTAATTTTTACTTTTAAGGAATTGCATAAATGAGCACACATATATATATATTAGTCTTTTCGCATGGCGTAAGTCATATGCGAAAAGACTAATACAAGATAAGTTTTCCATATTAAATCAGGAGGGATACCATATAATGCATGATAATGGATAGCAGATATTTCATTTCAGCATTTCTGATTGATGTTTTTGAGGTGAATGCTCTATTTATGCATGTTCTACCTATTAACGTCAGTCGATGTATGTATAATAACTAAATGGTCTTTTTATTAAAAACAGTCTATGCATGTACAATACCTACATATTCTTTTTATTTAAGCCAGTTGACATATTTACACTGTGCTTCGTTATTCAGTAAATAAATCAGTCGGTAAAAAAAAAAAGGAAAAATAATTGAGACAAATAAAATTAAATAAGAAAAACAGTAAATAAATAAAAATAAAAAAATTCTGAATTAAAAAACAAAAAACATTCTGTCTATTAAGTTGCTTTTTGTGGTTTTTTAAAAGACAATAAAGTTTTATTATAAGCTTGCTATTTTTAATCCTATTTTAATTGTTTTTACATAATGTATACTTGATTTTGTCAGCTTAGAACAAGGGTTATTAAAAGCCCTTTTTTACCGTCAACAATACACATAAGTATACTGTTGATGGTAAAAATATATATATATCCTGTATTTTATATATATATATATATATATATATATATATATATATATATATATATATATATATATATATATATATAAACGCAATTTGCTAAATGTAATTAATAATTTACACAAAACCATTTTAATTGTGTGTTAACTCAAAAAATGTTTATTTTGCTTCTGTTTTTTTTATTTTTTATAATTATTTGATATTTGATACGATCCTTTTTTTTTCAACTAATTTAATTGCATTTAATTTTTCTTCTGTTGCTGACTATTTCGATTAGAAAGGTTAGCTTATTAAAAACTGAACTTTATTTTTTATTTGATTTTTATCTTATTTATGCATAAGCATATTTAATGTAATTTTTGTTTTAAACTTGAAGTTGTGTAATCTTTTTTAAATGATAATTAACTGTCTTTAAACCGCTAAAAAACCAATGAAATTGTTTAAAAAATAGATTTAAACTTATCTAATTGCTGATAATACCTAACCACTTAAAAGATATTAAGTTGCTTCAAAGATATCTTTAAACTTGAAATGTTTCAAAGAATGATTCATTAATATTAAAAACTTTCCCACATATTTTTAAAGACTTATTTTTTAAAAGAGACATTTTAAAAGTCTTTATTGTTTTCTTTTTAAGAAAAAAGAACAATAAAGAAAGTTTAAGAAAAACAATTGCAAAATAAAAAAGATGTAACAACAAATTGGAAGTATTATGTGGGCATTTCTAAAAAATTACTAATGGGAACTCGTATATGTTGTGTCAATTATTTTGAAGCGGAATCACACATGGAACAGAAAAACCATTAACTCTAAAACACTGCTTCACAGAGAAACAAGTTAAGTGTGGTATTAATAGAATTGTGGTAAAAATCAAAATTTATAGTTACATCTCTCTGATTTATTCATGAATTCAAAGTTTAATGCAAGGTGACTAAAAATCATCAGCTTTAATTTGGATGAAACAAGGCAGATTAAATTTTGCACTATAGATATGAAAATCCCAAAAAATTAGTCATGTAATTTGTAATTTGTAATTATGTTAATCTGTAGGAAAAAAAAAACATAATTTCTGCATAATTTTTAAAAAAAAAACTCATGTTGTCTGCATAATTTTTCCCAATTAAGTGAAGCTTTTGATACGTCTGATTTCTAGAAAACGTCATGTATTGAGATTTCACTTAACAACCAAGATTTATTATTTGATTGAACTTCTTTTTTAACAAGTGAATCCACTGCGCCACTACCACATAAAATCTTGTGTTAAATTTAGTTTTATATATGCATGTGCAAAAAAGTTAATTATTGATGTTTGTTTCATTGACTCACTTAAGAGCTTTGAAACTTTTAAAGGTTAATTTTTCTAAGTATCACCACTTTATGTAAAGATTGAAAATTATTTTTTTAAAAAAATCAAAAAGCCATCAATGTCTTTTTGATTTTCAGTTGTTGGTTTTTTTATTCTTGTATCTCTCATCAACTGAAACATCATAAAATATGAATTATTAACTGCAAAAGCAGTTAATAATTCATGTTTTATTAATTATATGACTTGTTGTTCATTATCAACATATTGGACATTATGCTGTTCATTACCATCCCTTTTAAATATTTTTCTTTTTCTTTTTTAAAGCTTTTTTTGAAATAAAACATTAAATAGACTATAGTATATTTTTTTAAAGTTGTATATTTTTAATTTTTTTTTTCTAAATGGGGTAAAATTTTAAAATAAAATATTTTTATATATTAAAATACAATTTTAAAAAAACAAGTTTTTTTCTATTTTTGGTTTAAAGCTTTTGACTCACTCTTTATTTTTATTGCCGTTATATGACAATAAAATGTGTTTACAACATATATCATTTTAAATTTTTACTCAACAGCACCATATACAATCTATTCTTAGTACCACTTCTCTTGTGTCTACTTTACTAGGCAGCTCTGTTGGTCACCTGTATGGGATTATTGCATTGCAGAAACAAATCTCAGCTTTCTTTTTATATATTGAAACAATATTAGGAAACTTTAAAACAAAAGTTATCAATTTTTTCAAAAGTATATATCAACCTGGGTCTCAAAAGAACCTGAATATTATAGTGATTTTAAAATACTTTTAATATTATAGTGATTTTAAAATACTATTCTTTTCTACTGAAACATTTAAAAAATATATATTGTAGGCAAAAACTTTATTTTATTTGAAACCATTATTATTTCTGAAATCACTATGAAATTCTGGTTCTTTTGAGACCCAGGTTGATATGCTTTTAAAGAATAAAAGTTCACTGAGATATGGGATGGTGGGTGACTTTTTTCAAAAATTAAATAAAACTAATGACTTTTCAGTTACTTTCAAACCAAAGTTCATCTGCCTTTTATATTGGAAACTGGAGATACCAAAAAGTCAACACCCTAATATGCAGACAATACAGTGATTTATTACTCCCTCAAAATCTTAAAAGTTTTTTTCATAATTTTTTTTATTTATAAAAATAGCTAGAGAATCAAAACATTACTTTCAAATGTTTTCAAATTTTAGATATGATTGAAATTGATATTGTTGAATGACATAATAAATTATTTGACCTAATAATTGATTTCAAAAAATTGTTGTTATAATCTTTTTATCATTTATTCAGCAGTTCCTTAAATTATCAAACACTTAAATTGTATAATACACACACACACACACACACACACACACACACACACACACACACACACACACACACACACACACACACACACACACATGCACACACACATACATAGATATATTAGGGTGCGTCACCACCGTAGAAAAATTCTACTCCATGCATCACCGTAGTAGAAAAATTTTACCCCATGCAAAACCGCAAAATATTGATTGATAGCTCCCCCCATTCATATATGTATACATAAATGTATACATGTGTACATATATAATCCTATAGTTTAAAATCTAAATTTACAGTTTGTGGTAAAAAACAGCTCTTACAACTCTTTGTCTTTAAAAAGTGACAAATCAAGTACACTTTATGTAAAAAAGATTAAATTTAATTGAGGAAACTAATTAAATGTTATCGTTTTTTAAAAAACGCAAATTAATAAAATGGAATGTTTTTTATTTTTTTTAAATAAAAATAAAAATGTATTACAGTCAATGAAGCAGCACTCCTCACATGTTCTACCTATTGTCATGCTACATTGACTGAGGGTTTTGGTTTGGGCAGACAATTGATCAATTAAAAAAAAAGGCTTTTTTAAAGTTGTTAATATTTTCTGGTCTTTAGTGAGATTTTCACCTAGACAGCTTTTTGTGAGTAGTATCTGTTTTTACAAGGGCTATTGTTTAAATTGTTTTTTTTTTTGTTTTTGTTTTTTAATATTCTCCAATGATGTTTGATGTCATAATAAATTTATTCAATGCTTTTTAAAATAAAATAAATTTGGTTAAAACTTACTTGATAAATTTATGGTAGAATTTATTTAATGATAAAAATTATATTATTAAAATATACAACTGAAAACATAACATGTATAAAATATGTCTATAAAAATAAAAATACGTTTATAAAAAATGAAAATATGTATTATAAAAAATAAAAATATTTAAGAATATTAAATAAAATCTCAAAATTTTTCTTAAAAAAGATCTTTGTAAAGGCCTTTGTTATTTGATGTTCAAGTTATAAAAAACCCCTTTTATTTAAAACTTCAGTTAATTAAAATGTGGTCAAAGTTATTTAAATTTATAAGTGAAACTTGGAAATTGTTTAAAAAGACTTTAGTGTATTATGAAAATATAAGCTTATATAATTTTTTTTTAAATTGTTCAATAGATTTGATCTTCCGTTTTATATTTATAACACAAGCATATATAAAAAAAAAGTACTATATTTACTATGATACGTTTTTATTGTAAACAAGTTTTTCAAATAAACTTTATTCAGAAACCGTTATGATATCAAACTCATTTAATGTTTCATTTCAATTCAAAAAAATTTTCTTACTCTCTTTCTAATTTTTTCTTACTCTGTTTTAAATTTCTATGCAAAAAGCAAGTGACACAATAAAAATTTGAAGATCTTTTAAATGCTATCTTTTAATGCAACATTAATATTTCATTATAACTATAATTTGTTTCATATAACTATCATTTGTTTCATATAACTATCATTTGTTTCATTATAACTATCATTTGTTTCATATAACTATCATTTGTTTCATATAACTATCATTTGTTTCATATAACTATCATTTGTTGCATAACCGAGATTTTTTATCCTTTTTTGTATCTATTTTTATATTTATCAAACATATTTATATATTTTGT